GTACTTCATACATTGTCAGTTATAATACATGCATAATTATTGAATTTTTCTCCAATGCCAATGAGTCATATATAAAATCCTTGCATGTTTGCATAATAGGAGTCTTGAAACTATCAAGAGCTAGTAGCTAAAACCAAGGGGAAGGTATAAATAAAAAATAAACAAACTAAGTCAAAAGCACAATTATCATTAGTTGCTTAATATGCAGATAAAAGTCTGGGCCACAGCTCTCCCTGAACTACATGCTGGCCAATAAAAAAGCAATTAATTTTATGATGAATCCTTTGAGACACTAATGAGTGTTAAATTATTTTCAAAGTATCGTGGGAAGAAAATATATTTAACTTTGTATATTTCAATTTTAATTTTTTCATGATCCATATATTAATTGCATAATAAATATATGGTTATTGTCAAAAATAATATGTGAAAATGTAAGAAAACAGTATCCGGTCGCCAGCTCCATCCATTCCTTCCCCTCCATCCTGAGGTAAACATTGTTAGCAGCCTACATATACTTTTCCAGTTGTACCTCATTTCTATAAAATGTATATACTCATGTAACTCTAGTTTGGGGTATGGGGGCATTGTCTCCAGGGATTTTAAACTGAGTCTCAAACCCAATGATACTTTATTTTTATTTTTATTTTGAGAAACTAAGTTGCTAAGGTTTTCAGGCTGGGCTCAAATTTACAATCCTCCTATTTCAGCCTCCCACAGTGGTGGAATTACAAGCATGTGCCGTCATGGAAGACAGTGACATCTTTTAACGTGAATGAAAGCATAGTATACACAGTATGTGGTAGCGTGCTTATTTATTAATGTCTAATTCATCTCATCTTAGAAAGCTTCATTGTTTTTCAAGTATTTGCTTACTATATTTTTATTTGGATTTTATTTATTTTCTATATAGACTTTAGAGTGTGTATCATCTTATTGTACATTCCGTAGGAATTTTCTCCCAAAAACCTGACCTCTATATTCTTTCAATATATATATATATCTATCTATATATATATATATAGATAGATATATATATATATCTATATATATATTTAAATTTGAAAAGCTGGCCACAATGCATTTATATGACAGAAGATAATAACTGGTTAATCTTGAAAGTGACTCTTGTACAGTGATTATGCACTTGCTTCAAGATCCAGGTCCAAAGGGGAAGGGAGGTGGAGAGGGTAGGGGAAAGGTAAGAAGAGAAACAAATAAACATGAGAAAAGGAAACAATGGAAAGTCTTCATACATAGAGGTATGGAGGGGTTGAAAGGAAGGCGGGAGGATGGGGGGAAATATAAGACCCAAGATACACCATATAAAGGTACAAGGTCCCAATAATGAATGTCACATCGTATGCCTAAGATGTACCAATAAAGTCAATGAATAAAAAAAATCCTACCACATCATAGGGGTGAATAGTATACCTTGGCCTTTGTGCTCTGAACCATACATGTGCACTTTTCCAAAGCATTAAAGCAATTGCCATGAGTAGGCGAAAACACGGACTTCCATTGGATTTTTTATGTCCCTCATTTTGAATTGTGTGCACGACCATTGCTATATTAAATTTTGCAGTGTTGAAAAATTACCAGGTATATTTTTCTATTTATAATATATTTGTAGATAAGGATTAAAGTGGATTTAATACATTTTTAAGGCTGTGTGAATTTTTCTAAACAGGGACAGCCTTTACAATATGAATTATCAGTGATTAAACAAATTACAACTTTTGTCATCAGTTGAGAGCACATGTTCATATAGCTACGTAAAAATATACCAATGAGTATTTGATGAATTCCATTAGTTTTTACTATTAGCATAATTCTGTGTTGTACAATTAAGTTAAAGTTACATCTCTAATTTTGGATATTATTCACTGGTTAACAATAAACAAAAACTGATACAATTCATTAATAAGAAATAAGTTTCCAAGGTTTTATTAAAAATTATATTCCCTCTTGAATTAAAATTGTGTCCTTGCAATCATTCAACCCAGGTTATTGTTGCAAGGCAGGATTTTATTTTTCAAGGTATATATGTGTTTATTGTATATGTGTTATATATTTTTTCATGAGATATATATATTTATATATATATATATTTAACTTTGTACTGCTAATGATATCTAATGCAGTAATTTTTCTTTCTTGTACGATACTTTGTATGGTTTCTTTGTATGGTTCTTTTAAATTGCTAAGGTTTATTTTATGACCTAGTGTCTGTTGGACTTTTCTATCGATATAAATTATGTCAATCTAATAATAAATGATAATGTTGTACAGATCTTCTATAGCATTATGTTCACCTGTCTACTTCTTGTGCTGCTTGTTTATGGAAGGGTATGGAAATCTGCAAATGAAATTAAGGGCTTGACTATTCCTCACTTAGGTTTAGATTTTTTACCTTAGGTATTTTGAGACATTTTATGTGCATTACATATTCAGAGACATTGTGTCTGCTTATGAAAGTTTTTATCATTATATAATGTTCTATTTCAACATGGTCATATTTATTATTCTGAAGTCAGATTTATTATTTATATGTTCAGACTGGCTTTCTTTTCATTAGCACATTCATGACACCTTGTTCTAGCCTAGCCACTATTCACTTTTTTTTTCTTCCTTGAGGAAAACTTTCTTTGTTTTCTTTAATCCGGATTAATCTAACATTTTTTGAAACTTTACCTGATATGTTCAGATCATTTATATTCAGTTTAATTTTTGAAGTGGTTTAATGCAGTCTACATTCTAGTTGATTTATATATTTTTCACTCCTGCCATTTTTCTCTCTTATGATGCCTTGTTTTGGAACAATTATATTTTATGATTTAACCTTGTATGTGTAGGGGTTTATCTGTATTTTAAGTATTTTAATGGTTGCCTGAGGATTTTTTTAAGCACAAAATTAATTTGTCCACTGGAACTTTAAATATTTTTACCATTATATAAATATAAAGACACACAACTCCCTATTTCTCTGAGGTTCTGTGCCTTTTTTGACAATGTTTGCTTTGGTATATTCATAAACAGTACGTTAAAATTTTGAACTAAACATTAAGTTATGCTAAAACCATTTGAAATAAAAATTTGAATTTGTATATTTACTGATGCTATTTCTAGGCTTTAATATTTTCAGTAGAGCAAAATTTCTGCCTAGATTATGTATTCTGTGCAGAAGCCCATTTTAAAAATATTTTTATAACTCATGCTTACTTTTCTCTAAAAATGGCGTCTCTTATTTCTTTTAAAAAATAATTCTGGATAGAGAGCTTTATTTTCCTTCCAGCATGGAATCCTTGTCAGTCTTCTGTTCCTACTTACATGGTTTTATCTTTGCTATGTTCTCCCTTGAACCTCTAGAAGGACATGTATTTTGCTTTAGAAGCTTTAATTTTTTTCTTCCTATTACTGGTTTTGATTAATTTGACTATAATATGTCCAGGTTCTGTTTAATTATTTGCTTTGTTGGTTGATTCATTATCCTGTTTGGTGTCCTCTAAGATTTTTATCTATGGTTTGATTCATTCATTACTTTGGGATATTTCTCATTAATCTATGAAATATTTTCCGTGTTCCACTTTCATTTCATCTTCTCCTTATGTCACTTAATTACTTCTCTGTTAAACTATTTGATAATTTCCCATAGCTCTTAAACGTGCTTTTTTTCTTCCTCTTCTTTCTCTTCCTCTTTCTCCACAATCCTCTATCACTGTCAGTAGTAGGAATTCTCGAATGGTCTACCGTTAGGATATTCTCTTTGATCTTTCCCAGGCACAGTGCTTTTAAAAATTATTTTCTTTTTCCCTGGAACGAGCAGATTCTTACCTTTTTCTGCTCAATGACATAATATCTGGCTCTTCCCTAGGACTTTGCTACTCTGTTCCATACAGAGAAAATAGATGTACCCTTTTCACGTCTACTTTTGCTATTCTGGTGGGACTCCTTGATTCTCTTTTTCTTCCTTGTCTTTTTAGAGAGTACTCACTGAAGACTGGGGGAAATGGCAGTTAATAGGGATGGTTTCTCCTTTTTGTGGTTTCCTTTTGTTTACTGTGGTGGTGACCTACACTCAGTTTTTAGCAGTGTGTTAAAAAATTTAACTGAGTTAATATCAACTTATATGGAGTGGGTGTTTGCCATGGGTAAGAATGACTGATCTCCCTTGGCTTCTTGGAGGTACGTGTCTTTTTTTTTAGATTCTGGATTACTTTATAATTGCTCAAAACAGCCATACTCCATCTGATGCTATTGTACACTGAGCTCAGTGTTGTCTGTGACTTACCCATATTGGGTTGTGGTACTTTAGTACAAATCCAGCTTGTCATTTCCCTGTAACTACTCCCACTTAGTGCACTTGACTGCCTCCCATTGTAACACATTTGTGATTGTGAAAATTGCCTTTAGGGTATCATAACACAGAGTTATTTGTAATACATGAAGCTTATTCTTTCTCTGCTCAAAAAGTTTATGTGAAATATTACAGTCATCCTAGTTCTACAAAGACAAAGATATACTATACAAATATATTTTTGTATTGGTTATTCGATGTTACTTATGCTTTTGTGAAAGTGGCATCTTTATTTGAATTAAAATTAATTTTAATTCTTTGCAATATGACATTACTATTGAGTGATAGCATGTAAGAATATTATATAATAATCTGATAAAGGATTTATCATGAAATATTAGTAAAATCTTGAACAATAAAATGTAAATAATACATAATTATAATAGAGGCAGCTATTGGATGAATTACTAAGTAGTACCTGATGCTTTATAGCCAATTTGTCCTCATAATATTCTAAAAGGTAAATATTACTATATGCACTTTACTTTGAAACAAATTACTCAAGATGTATTTAAGCCCTACTCTCTGACCCAGGAGGACTGTATCTATATTGTAGACCTATACTGACTACATTTGTATTGCTTCGCTTTCGGATGACACCATTTTTCATATTTAGCTAATCGTTTTTTGTCTTTGCCTTTAGGGTTCGATACAAGCATTTTGCCAATATGCAAGGACTCACTTGGCTGGATGTTTAACAGACTCGATACAAACTACGACCTGCTGTTGGACCAGTCAGAGCTAGGCAGCATTTACCTTGATAAGAATGAACAGTGCACTAAGGCGTTCTTCAATTCTTGTGACACATACAAGGACAGTTTGATATCAAACAATGAATGGTGCTACTGCTTCCAGAGACAGCAAGGTAAAAGATGAGGTACCTATGGGGGCAAATAGTTGAGCTGCTTTTCAGATCTTATCTACTGCATTATGATGAAAGGACGCTACGTCCCATTCGTGTTGAGAATTTTCTCTAACTTGACTGTTTAATAAAAGAGCAAATAAGTAGCATGTTGAAAAAATAACTCCGATAAAGATGCAAATTTGCTAAAGAAAATGAAAATAGTAATTAATATTTTATATTAATGTACTTCATTATAGTTTCCATTATGAACCACCAAGAAGCACACAGAGATATGAGAACATAGATATTAAAAGTAATCATTAAAATTAATTTGCTATCTACTTTGCCTGTGGTGTAAAATAAATGGGTTTTTTATCACTATACTGTGGAATTTTAATGTTCTATTTTGTGATTTTATTAAATGAGCTGAATGAACCACAGCATTCACCATAAAGTTATTTTTACTCATTTTATTTTAAATTGACTGGTCTTGCAACTTTCTCAAATAGCTGAGCTTTTCAAAGATGCATTGGCAAAGCAAGTGTGTATTACAATAAAATTTGCATGAGAAATATTGAGCGTCTTTAGAATATACATGATTTAAGTGTACATATTAAAATATAATTATCTATATGACCAGATTTTTATCTTTGTTTAATTTTTGTTATGTATTGTTATATGTCTGCAAGATACTTTTCAATACTCCGGAACAAGTGAGGGGAGAAGATTTAAAATGATGCTGGACTTTACAAACTTCTTAATTAGGAAAACTAAATGTGTATACACTTGGAAATAATCGAATTATAATTTATATTTAAAATACATGGGGGAAATACCTAAAAGACTCATGGAGAAATTTGGAGGACCGAAGGAAACAATGTTGTGTGTAATTTTAATATTAATTTGAAAAACACTGGAAATCAGTTTAATGTGATACACTCATTACTGTCATCACTGCTTTTTTTAAAAATATTTTTTATTAGTACGTGTGTGCGATACATAAAGATTCCATTTATCGTGTGGAGTTGCTGCGCATACATAACACATCTCAGTGCTTTTCCATCTGCTCCGCTTACGCCCTCCCTACTCCTTCACATGCCTGCTTGCCTTCCGAAGAAGGGAGAAACGGAGCCGAAGCTCTGCGTCCACTTTTTCCCTTCAGTTTCCTCCTCTCCCTCCATCTCTTCTTCCACTTCCCATTCAAGAAAGCTTTCCATAATCCCGAGTATAATCTATTTTTCATTTTGCCATCGCCTTTTAAAAGTAATTTTATTGGCGCTGGGGATTAAGCTCAGTGGTGCCAGCGTCTGCCTCATAAGCTCAAGGACCTGGGTTCGATCCCCGGGACCCAAAAACAAAAAGTATTGGTACATTTTAGGCATACATTTTGCCATTGCTTTAAAAAAATTTTAGACAGAGTGCCAGGGATTTAGCTCAGTGGCACCACCCCTGCCACACAAGTGCAAGGTCTCAAATTCGATACCCAGTAGCAAAACAGACAAACAAACAAAAAAAACTTAGCTAAATGAATTAACAAGTTACTTTAACCTGCATTGATTAATCTCATTTCCTATGGAAACATGAATACATTGTATAGGATATTTTATTACACCAGTTACATTTACATATTTAGCAATTAAAGATGAAATGATTATCCATAAATTGATAACTGATATGTCAACAGGATTAGTTGAGTAGCCTACAAATAAATCTCTTTAAGCAAAGTTTAAAAAGGATATTTCCTTTAACTATTTTATGTTTTACTCACATAAACACATATGTTTGCTATGTTATATTTATGCTTTCTAGGTTTTTAAACAATCCTAGTAAACTATAATTATGTTGTAGTATTAATGAATGGTATACATGTACATAATTCAAATAATGAGCAGGTACTGAATCCAGGTAAATTTCAGTAAAACGACATATAGTATTTTGTTATGCTGACACTTGCACTTTAGTATTTATGTGTGTGTCATCATAGCATGTTTTTGTTTTTCATGCATGAACACTTAAAATTATACGTAAATACTCAAAAAAGTTGATCTCAAGAAAGTTGAGAAAGGAATGGTAGGTAAATAGTCTGGGTACAGTACGTATTGGAAAGTAGAAAAAGAAACTAAAGAAGTATATGAAAATTGACATTAATAAAAATAGAATGTTTATAAAGAGAAAAATAATTTTAAAAGACTAGAGTTATAGAAGTAGCTCATAAATAGTAACAGGAATATAATTTCAGTCATATTTTATGTAGTCAACCGACTAGCTGGTTAAAATTTCTTTTTAAATACTAAAATGTACCCTTATGCGGAACTTGTAGGACCAATAGGTTTATTCTGTAAGGTCACCATTCAGAAATCAGAGTCACATGTACCTTGAATTTTATATAGTGAGTATATAACATATGTCTCTTCTGCCTTATAATAACTTGCCTATAGAAAAAGACAAATGATTTTAATACTGAAACTTCAGCTAGAATATTTCCTTTCATTTCTAAGATATCATATCCTGAAAAGCTATGCATCTATTTTATAAGCTCATGCAATCCATCCTGAGTCCTACACCTTTAGTACTTGGTATAAGAGATTCGTAAAATTAGAGAAGTAACAAAGGGCAATTTAAGGTGGAGCAAATCAACTCATTAACTATTCGTGATTCTTAAACAAATTTCTTCTTTGCATTTTAGACTCTGCAAGGTGAGATGGTTTTGATCTCAGATGTTAAGTTATGAGACATGGGCTCCGATCCCTCTGTGCTCATTACTCGTGCCATTTCATAATTCAATATTTTGAAGCTTGTATATTAAAGAATTTCAAAAAACTTTGAACGAACTTTATCTTACATTTTCCCTAACAGGATCCAGTCATGGACAATAGAAACTTCTTTATGATTTTGCTATTTTAGTAGTTATAATGCAGTTTCTCTGTATCAGTAAGAGCAAGTTTTTGTACTGTGAATAAAAATGCAATGAACCCTTTTCAAGTAAGTATATATATACATCGTTATATATATGAATTGAGATTAAATAATACAGGGAATTTTGAGGTTTTGACAATATACAAAGCACACATTCTTTATTTAACTGGAATCCTTGAAGTAACATTTTTAATGTTATTGCAGACCCACCTTGCCAGACGGAGCTCAGCAATATTCAAAAGCGACAAGGGGTAAAGAAGCTCCTGGGTGAGTAATAGCTCATTCTTCTGAAGGCTTTATTGCTTACATAAATAACCCCAGGGAAACAGCAACATAAAATCAATATTAATCCAACAAAGATAGACTGCACTAAATTTCAGTCACAAAATTTATGAACTTTTTGAAAGCTATTAAACTTACTTTCATTACCTCTCCTATTGAAAGATATTATGTCTTTTTTATTACCCTAATATAATGTTCATCTTGCAAGTTATTAAGTTAAAAGTAGAGATTTAAACAATACTAAAGTTAAAACATCAGCAGAAACTTCTAATTCTGTAGCTACAAATTTATGAATTAATGATATTATGTACCTATGATAATATGTTATTTAAAGTAAAATGTGTAAAGATGGAGTGAAAAGTAGTTCTGGGTACTTCAGAGAATATGAGCCCATTTTTTTTAATGTTCTTCATTAGTATTTTTACTATCATGTTTAGGATATGATTTGTATGGACAGATGGAAAGTTAAATAATTGCGAATTTCACCCAAAGCTTTGAAATATGTGAATATTTGACTATTAAGGGATCACTTCCCTATATTTCAGTATTGCTTAGTCTTGTTAATATAATTTTAAATAAATTATTTAGAATAATTTTAAATTCTTAAATATAATGATAGTACAAGCTTTTCATAAAGTTTTCACCAAACATTCGAAAGATAACATTTTACTTGCACCAAGTAATCATAGCAAATTTGTAAATTGTGAGAAATCAGTTTCGTTATGATTCTACTCTTTTATTTTACATTAAACCACTGGAATTCCCATTAGTGTCCAAAGTAAGATACCACAAATGCAGCTTTTCTTTTCATGTATATTAATGCATTATATTTAATGGCACAGAACTTGATCTCTGGATCTCATTACTCAATATAATATTTTGATATCCTATCTGTGTAATTATACAATCTTTTGCTGAAAATATTTTTTCATATAGCTTGATATTGTCAATTCAGTGTCTACTCTGTAAAATAAAAAACTTTTATGGTGTTACAGTAAATATTTTTATTTGTTCAGAATAACTAAGGATAAAGATTGTAATATGTCTTGTTTCTCATAATTCATTACAACATAGTTGCTATATTAGATCTCACAAGTGCAAAATATACTTTTAAATAAGTGTATCTGTGCTCATCAAAATTTTGTCCTATGCAATGGGAAAAGTCATTCAAATTCAACTGAAAAAAATTTTAGAGTCATCTCAGTTCTATTACTACTCTAAAAACCTATATAAATGTAGGCTTTAAGTTACTAAAACACGAAATGCATATCTTGCCTATTGGGAGGCAAGACTCTCCTTTCATAATATAATTAAAAATAATTACTGGATGGGGGATGTAGCTCAGCAGAGCCACACCTGCCTGGCAACACAAGGTCCTGAGTCCAATGCCCAGTATCAGCGAGAAAAGGGAAGGGAAAGGAGGGGAGGGGAAGGGAGCTCAGGTGAGGAATTATTAGAAGTACCAAGTGCCTCGAATATTATAATTTGGGTGGATAATGGTGCATATTTGAGAAATGAGGAGCTGATACTGTAGGATTCACATGTTGCCATGGATTCTGAAGTACAACTGTAATTCTTATAGTGTCCTTTTCCACTTTCTACATGTACTGGCCTAAAAAGATAAGTGAAAATTTCATGTCAAATCATGTTATTTTTAAAGATGTAGAAATTAGAAAGTTGACTTCTTTCTCAGTTTTTGATGCTGTAAATCCCTAGAAGACATTCACAGTTTTTCCCTATTAATGGTACTTAATCAACCTCATTAAAAGATAAGTAGCTCAAATCTCACAAAGGAATTATAATTTTTTTTGAAGCTAATCACAGGTTTATTGGTACAATCTAGGTATATGATACAATTACATTCATCATTGGGATTCTGTACCTTTACATAATAGGTCTTGATTCTCATTTTTTCCCCTTGTCCCTGCCCTCCCTTCACCCCCTCCTCCCCTCCCCATTTACAAACACTTTATTTCCATTTTTTCAGTTTCTCATATTTTTTTCCTCTCCCTTATTACCTTTTCCCCACCCTTCCCACTTTCCCTACACCTTTAGCCCTTTACTTCCTATTTCACATTATTAATTATCTCATTAGGATCCTGTGTACTATTATAGTTTTTCACACCAAAGAAACTATTCGGTATTTCAGTTAAGGAAATCTCTGTACGAACATTAAAAATAGGGAATCCTAAAATAAAACTAAAAAGGAAAGTAAACGAGAAAAGGCAATGATGTAACATTAAAATAATCCTTAATTCTGGAGATGAAAATGGTCCCTGAACATATTTAAATTGCTTCGCTCTTATAATCTCATCTTATTCTTTTTTTCATTATTTAGAGAATACTTTATTAGTTTCTGTAATCAAACCCACATAGATATGACCTTACATATTTAGTACGATGTGTTATCCATGTACACATGAAAAAAAAAATAAACGAAATTTTCTAGACCAATATGGCTGTCCATTTCTGTACAATGCCAACTCAACACAGTAAATTGGGATGACTTTTTCCAAAGTTGGCAGCACCGTTAAAGTTTTCCAAAATTCAATTTATATATATATGTATATATATATATATATATATTTATATAAAAAGACTAATAATAGTATGTTAGGCATCGATAGCAGCAACAGCTTTTCCAGGTTCTGCAGTCATCTGAACAAAATTATAGACATTCAGCACATTCCATTAAAAAAAACAAAACAAAGAAAAGAATAATATCCAGACAACAGCAAAGTTCTGATGCTGTTGTGGTACCTGGCACCATTTTTTCTATTAGCCTCTTAATCATCATCTGGAAAGAGAACATTCTAGAGTAATATCATTAAATGTAGCTCTGATAAAGCACAGTCCCTTCTCTGTATCATAAAGCAGGTACTAGATATTTTACATTCATAGAGGTATGATACAGTACCATCCTACATCAATAATACTAGATTCAGTTTTGGTTTGAAATTTACTTTGTCTGCAAATAAGATTGCTACCCCTGTTTTTTACTGGGCTCCTGTCACATGGAGAATTGTTTTCTATCTTTTCACTTTCAGTCTATGGGCTTCTTTTTGTACTAGGTGTTTCTTGTATATAACATAATGTTGGATTTTGCTTCTTATTCCATTTTTCCAGTCTATTTCTTTTGATTGGTGAGTTGAGGCCACTGACATTGCTCGTTATAACTGATATGTACTGACTTATTATTGACATGTTATTGGCCTTTTGTTGACTGTTTTTACTTTATCACCTTCTCCTTTTAATTTCTTGCCTTGCCTATTTGATTTGCTCTCTTGGGCCTCATGGTGCTGATTTTTTAAATGGAATTGATCATCTGTCAGAACTTTGAAACATTTTGAGAGTAAAATCATGATTCCATGTGATTGAATATTTTACTCCCTCTTTTGGATATTTGTTTTTCTTTTACCAAATAACTGTAACTTTACTCATCATACAAAAAAATAAGATCAGAAAGACAAGAAAAAATTATAGTCTCCTAGAACTTTTATGCTAGTGTTGGAGGGTTTTGTTTTGTTTTGTTTGTTTGTTTGTTTGTTTGTTGGTACCAGGGATTGAACTCAGGACCTTGGCTTGTGAAGCAGGCATGGAACCATATTGTAATATATGCAGGGTGAGGTGTTAGAGATAGAAAAATGATTGTCTTTCCCACTCATTCCACTTGACTGTGTTCTCACTAGTATGTGGGTTTATATAGCAGTGACAGCCCAAAGAACCTAAAGCATTCCAGATGTAGAGGTCATCACAGTGCGGAAAGTTTTCAGTGACAGTCTCCGCAAACACACACTTAAGCTTGGGTAAGCACACTCACACTCATGAACACACTCACCACTTACAGTGCAAGAGATATGTATGTATCTCCTCCAGTTGATAAAGCCTTCATATTAGGGTCACACTTAAATTGAGCTTTAAACTAAAAGAAGGAGGAAGAAAGGATTCCAGTTAAGAGAAGCAGCGTGGAAAGAGATGAAGCAGCACTGAATTTGGAGGAAATTGGTAGCTTAATACAGAAATATCTTGAAATATAAATGAAAAACACTGGAATTAAAACAAAAAGTTGGCAATGATGAGAAAATGAAGGCTCTTGTATACCATAGTAAGTAGTCCAGATGGTTTGCTATGAGCATAGCATTAATCATATTTTAATTCTGCATTAAACCTCTGGGAAAACTGCTCTTTGCAGAGTGACAAATGTTGAAACGCTAATTTACTTAATTCCACATACGAACCCATAAAATGGAAACAGTTCCTTGTGAGGGTGCCAGTTTCATGGCAGCAGAGACTTCTTGTTTCCTTCCCCAGGTATCGGTAGGACATAGTGTGGAAAATGGTGGGGCATCCACACGCATGTCTTACGTCCCTCTCCGCATAGTGCACACCTACAGAAAGGTGCTCAACTCATTCGTGATATATGCGTGTGTTTCTGACGGTGCGTTTGTCTCACAGGACAATACATCCCCCTGTGTGACGAAGATGGTTACTACAAGCCAACACAATGCCATGGCAGTGTCGGGCAGTGCTGGTGTGTTGACAGATATGGAAACGAAGTAATAGGAACCAGAATCAATGGTGTTGCCGACTGTGGTAAGGAGAAAGTTTGCTTTAAACATTTTCCAAGCACCGGATGAAGTACTACAGTGCCTAATTCGTAAAAGCACTTAATAAAGACCCACCTTGCGCAGACTAGGCCATGTGAAGGGGTGGAGGGAATGGAAGGAAGACTTGTCCTAGCACATGAAAAATCTGTATTGTAGTACATTCGTGTGCCTAGTTTAGATATTTGGGGGAGAATAATTGAAGCCTGTGTTCATTTTATTACTTAAGATTTCCTACTTAAACAGCTGTTTGATTCTTCCTCTTGGCCTCAGATAAGGCAAGCTTTTGTCACTGATTTTATTGGAAGTCACTGAAAGCTAGTGGATACCATGCTCTCACAGCTTGCCCTTTTCTGTACGTATCTCAAGACAGAGTGACTGAGTGGGCATGGAAGCTCACCACTCACCAACCAAAGCTAACAAAACCTTCTATAAATTGCAGCTATATCAACATATTGCTTATTTCTTTATATTTAGGTGAAAAAAATGCAGTTTAATTTTTAAAGTTACTTATAATTAATATTCTCATTTATGAACATAAATGTCCAAGTATATACCAAAAAAGTAAAATCTACATTGAACACCAGTGTATCTTTTATTTTTCAGGAAATAATTTTCCAGAATGCAATATTAAAATCAGGATGTTTATTCATCCTGTGGAGCACTTTAATTACAAAATTGCACATAAAGCAGAAATTAATGGATTGTGATTTGATTAGGAAAAATGGTCAAAAGTGAAAATAAAGTGCTTACTTTTGCATTTTAGAAAAGGTTTAAATGCATCCTTATGTGATTTTTTAGACTGACAAAGATTATTTAGGAAAAGATAAACAGTAAGTCATCAAAGGTAATCTCATTTAATCCTTATATTCAAAGTACATATTTATTTATTTCATAAAACTTTTAATTAACTTGGTCTCATTTGCTGACATAGCTAATACGGTTAGATTTAAATAGGAAAAAAGCTAATTTGTATAATTTAACATGTAAATAACATGTCTTTGTAAGTGTAATTATAATAGCTGCATTATTAATTACTTTAATTATCTGATGTCAGTGATGGATAAAGAATTTTAATTTTTCATGTTACAAATAAAAATTATGTGGAAATGATGTCAAAAGGAAACCGAAATTATTTCTGAGGGTTTTTTTGGCATGTTATTACTGAGAAATACAGAAAGTTGTTATGTAGCAATATTCCCTTTGCATAAAATGGATATTTTAGTGAGTCCTATTGTGATATCAACCATTTATAAACACTGAATTACATTATTAGGTTTCTTATAATTACCAAAAGATTACAAAAATATGTGTCAGAAAACATACAAAATGAAGACATTACATTTGAAAAGTAAGCACATGCCGAGATATGCTTATTAATATCTCTAGAATATAGTTACTTTAAAATATTTTTTGAAATACTGACTAGCAGGGTTAGTGCTGTTTCCATAGTAATGAATTTCCCATAATTCAGTGGCTTAATTCAGTCTTGCAATTCTGTGTGTCGCAAACCGGTCACAAGTCTCACCAACCTCAACCTCCGCCCATCAGCAGAGCAGTGCTGCCTTCTGAAGCACTTGGGGACACTGTTTCCTCGCCTTTTCCACTTCCTAGAGGCCACCCACGGTCCTGGGCTTCTGGACACTTTTCTGCAACTAAGACCACCAATTCTACATCTCTGACCACTCTTGTGTGATCATATTTCCTTGAAATCTACATGGGGAAGGTTCTTAGATTTTAATGACCAAGTGATAATGTGGGCCCGAATGAGTAAAGCAGGACGTTCCCTACATCTCATTCAGGTCCTTAATGTAATCACATGTTCAGAGTCCCTTCCTATCTAAGGAAACACAACAGTGGGTTCCAGGAATTAGGAATATCTAAGGAACAATTACCCACTTGAAAGTCTTGTAGAAAAAAATTATAGATTTGTAAGAGTCAAAGTATGACAGAAACTTTTACAAAACTAAGCAGAGATCAGTATTATTGAACTAGAAATCTTACAGAGCACAGTTCTGCAATGAGCACAGACATTTTAACGAATAATAGAGTTTTATCACGTAACTTTTTCTAGAGAATGAGGTTTTTCCTATTTTCGTTACATAAAGGAGCTGGAGAACAAATAGAAAATGCTATTGATTTCGTGTTTCGGGGAGAATTTAATACCTATTCATAAACTATCCCACTCACCACTCAAAATAAGTATTTATTTTCATTAGCTATAGATTTTGAAATCTCTGGAGATTTTGCAAGTGGAGACTTGCACGAATGGGCTGATGATGAAGGTGAGGAGGAAGACGTGATGAATGACAAAGAGGAGATTGAAGATGATGATGAGGATGAAGGGGATGACGATGATGATGATGACGATCATGATGGATACATTTGATCAGTGAGGCCTGAGGTCAATCAGTTCTACATTTCTAATATTTACGAAGTGATAGCCTATTGAGAATTACCATTTCCCCCCAAACGAAATGATTCTAAACCTCACATCTATTTTGTATGATTATCTCAGCTATTGCAGCTAAATGTCATAGAAATTTATGTTTAAATAAGAATAATTTATTCTGTTTTGATATGCCTTAGAGAAAAAGAAAATGCACCAGAGGATAGCCAGACAAAAGAACGTTGCGAAGAGATACTCCGATAAAGTTTTCATTAAAAAAAAATCTTTGTGAATGTTCCACAAAGTATCAACCGATATTTCTTTGGAACCTATATGCTGTTTTTATGAGACACTCTAATTTAAATTTATGATAACTTACATTTGACCTGGAACCCAAAGATTTTATATAATAATGCGTGACCTTAAACACAACTCCAAGTAGCATCTTCCTAAATATTAGGGTCCGTTAGAGACACGGCATAGTTGGATAAACAAAATGACCATTTTACAATCCTTATTAATAGTGACTTTTCAATTATGATGTTTTGTGGATAAGATAGGATATTTTATAAAGCAGCAAGTATGGAAAATAATGGATTCTCAAAGTTCAAAACTTAATTTTCCTTTCTAATTTTTATTTTAAATTGAATTTCAGTATCATGTACATTTTTTAATATATTCATGCAGCATGATTTCTATATTTATCTTTCTGACCAGCAATTTAAGGATATACTTTAAGTTAGAAGACAGAGAAAGTTTCATTTTTGCCATAATTTCAGTAAAAGTTTTTGATTTGCCCCACAGTCAAATTTTTAAAATATTAAAACTGATTTTATTTAGTATTTCAGATAAAAACTTGCATTTAACCCTAGAATTATGTCATCTTTGTTAGTAGTATCAAAACTTAGAGAATGTATTGTACGGTGCCTTGCAAAAGATAGAAATAGAAAGGTGTAGCATGCATACCAATATAGGATATTAGGCAATATTTAAGTACACCTAATTAACAAATTAACACAGTAAGGGTACTGCTGCTGGAATGAAGAAAACGGAATATGTTTCTTTTCTTTTTCTGTTGTTACATAATTGCCATGTGGACTTGTTTATAATTAATATGTAGAGTGGCATTTAAGATTTAAATATAGCAAAAATTACTTTAATTGCTATATTTTAGTTAGCATGTTAATTGTGTAGACATTTTGGCACACCATCACTTTTAAGTATATCAGACTAATGATTTAGTGCCCATATAAAAATGGAGAAAATTGTTAAATATTACACAATGGTATCTTTAATTTCAACAGTAGATTAACTGGTTTAATGTTATAATATTCATTGAAAGCAAAACTGTTGGGTTCTTTCCATTTAATTTATACACTCTAAATAAAATCTTTAATGTTGTCCTTACATAATATTTAAAGTACAATGCATTTTCTTTTTTACTGTTTATGTATAATTTACAAAATAAAAGAATCTTGTAACCAAAGTAAACTGTTCATAATGATTTTCCTTGGATATATATGGTAACACAGAAGTTTTTAATTATACTTCTCGCCTTTTAAGATGATATATTACTAACTGGGAAAGGCTTCTGAGTTTTATTTTTCTTATTTAATATTGTATTTTCAGTTATGATAAAGTGAATTTTGTTGGTTTGTCTTAGTTTCATGTTTCAATTAATATTGCAAAAGTAAATAGTTTTTATTCTTCAAGGGGTAGTATCTTAAATCCATTTTGTCATAAATAACTTATTTAGCTAAAATTCTGTAAAAAAGCATTTATAAAAAGTATTCAAATAGCCGTATTTAACAAATTATACATTTTTATTATATTGAAGTTTAATTACTGAATTGATTGGGAAAAGACTAAAGATAAATTCTATACAGAAATTTAGCAAATGAATTTAAATTAATAATTACAGTATAATTGAAGTTAAGCTGTTTTTAAAATTTTCACTTTCAATACTCCCAGGAAAGTAACCAAGTCAAGACCAAATATTAAACTGAAAACATCAAAAATAATAAACTTTATATAAATTATTTGTGTACAGTATACTTGTATGTCTATAAATTATGTTTGTGATGTTTTCAGTCTCTTGATCATATTTTTATTTATTTTTTTAATATTTCTGACTCATGGCAATTTTCTTTTGACATTATTTAACAGTATACATATATAAAGATCAGGCATCTCTAGTAAACTAGTCATTATTGAAGAAACAAGAGATTCATTAGTGAACAAAATAATCATAGTTAATATTCTAGTACGAAAGAGACGATAAATTTATTGCCAATCTATAACACAATATAGTTTCCATTGAAATAAATCAAGCAAAGATATTTCTTGTATTTAATTTAATAAAGAATGAGGTATTTTGAACTCAAATCTTAAGGGGTTGTTTTTCATTAAAAATAATTCAATTACCCTAATATTTTTCCTGCATATTTTTAATTCTGATTCATAGGCATGAAATCACACTAAAATTTCTATTTTAAGCTTCGTTTCTAATTTTAGTTTGAAAAGATACATGCAAATGACAAATTACAAGACATTATGAATAACAGCAAATTAAAAATGAAGCACTAGGGGAAAAGAACAAAACTGTACATATAAAACATCAAAAGCTTCTAATGTGTTACAATATATTACATACATTTATGAATGCTTTCTTTTGTGTATATCCAGCATAGGCATTGGGGTGTGCTGAATAACATGATGAAGGAAATAAGCTACATTTAAAATAAACACAAAACATTATAAAATTGATCAAAATGATATGTGGCCTGAAGTAAACTCTTTATTACTGCCAGTCGTATGATAGAATAAAATTCATCCATCCATTATGAAGATTATCCTGAATGATTAATAATACATCTGCTAAAGTAGTTTATTCTCATATACATTTTATACTATTTTCATTTAAAGCGGAAAAATTGTGTGAAAATAGCTCTAAAGTATTGATCCTGCTGATAGTTTATTTAGAATGGGTTTAGAGAATTACATAAAGAAATATTTGCTTAGTAACAAACACTTTGATGACTTCTTTCATATAAGTGAAATGATGCCTCTGCTTATGAAATAGTCAAGTGATTTCTACGTAGATCAGTTTCCAAAATGCACCGAGGGACAAATGAAATCAAACAGAGCACCCATTAGTAATATGTTTGTTCCTCCTGATACGTGTACTTGCTGCATGTACACACAGACCAGTCTAATTTTGAGCTTGTAGTTTAAAAACTGAGTTAGTCACATTAATTTATCTTATCATTTGTTTGTAATGAATGAAGGTGCTGCACCATAGCATAGATTACCTAGATGAAGTGAGAAGAAACACAAATCCAGACTATTTAAACTGCTGTAGAGATAAACTATAAATAAATGATGATGCATCTGCAGCCTATTCTTTTCCACAATGTTTTAAATTTAGTAACCAGCATCAAGGGGGAAATACTGAGAGAAAACATTTTAATTCATTCTAGTATAAATTTTTATATGAAATAACATCACCTTTTCTCTCCTGGCTTAAAAACATTTTACAACTTATAAGAATCATAACTTGGCCTCATAAAACTTTTTCAATGATTGCGTCAATGAACACTTCACAGAACCTAAGCATTAGTTATGGAAGTCTACATGTCAGATATTCTGGGGCAATTCAATCTGAAAAAAATGTTTATGCATAATATATTTTCTTTTCAGTTATACATTATTTCCTCCATCTTTGTGTTAACTGATGTCTCTTTTACTTAATAATTTTATATTTCTCAATAAAAATCTGAGCAAGCAAAATTAAGAAAAATCAGTGCATAGTGAAACATGATTTCAGGTAACACATTGAAAGACCATAGGTGAAAATTAGGTAAATAGATGAGAAAATTTGCTTTAACCTATAAATCCTATTACACACACATTCAAGTAGTTGAAAAATATCCCTATGGAATTTATTTTAATATATTGTAATTATTAATTATCTTATTGGGTTTTAGAAGCATGAGCACATACTTAGATTTAGAGTCTATAATCTTATCATTTCATATATGAAATGTAGCTTAATGTATATATCTTAGAGGATTTGTGTGAAGCCAACATGGAAGGCAGCTATGTTTACCACTATACCACTGATGCATGAAGGCAACATGGAACAGAAATTTAAAGCCAGATCATTCATTATTATTATTATGTTTCTCACTTAGTGCTCACTATTTTTGGGGGGTTTTTTGGGGGGTGTTCACAAATGCTTTTATTTGTGGACAATTTGGTTGCAACCAAAAGAGTTTGGCAAAATTTTGTTTGTTGACAAACTCCACATCAGGTAACAAACCTGACTGTGGCCATCTTTCCCACACAAACAAGAACGTAGGCATCTTTTCCAAAATCATGGAACAAATTAAGTTGATGAACTGAGGCACCACTTTAATATTTTATAACATCTCCTTTAAATTAATATGTTAATAAAATGTTTCTTTTATGTGTCTTGTCTTTTAAATTTACTCAATAAAGAAAATTTTAGACCAAGTATGTATATACATTTTGCAAAGGAACTGATGAAAGGAAATATATCTCACAAAACAAAGATAAAGCCAAAGCTATATTTTATGTAGGATAAAATAAACACCTGTGGCTGATGTCAAATGTGATTCAACAACAAACCAAACAAGAATTAACTATACAAATGTTTTCTTTTAATAAGATTTAACTATAACATGAACTCAATGTGTCGAAATAGTCTAGGCAATGTAAAATGAGTCATCCTTTCCCCTGTAAAATAAGCAATTATCTTTCTAGTGATGAGTGGGCCATTAACTTTTTCTGTTAACCAAGCACAAACTTTCTAAATATACACAAATTTCACATGATGACATTTCCAAAACATAAATATTCCCAGCTCCACACTGCAGTGTTCCTCTCTTTTATTTTTATTAGTACATTTTAGGTATGCAATATAATGACATTCATCTTTGGGAATTTGTACCTTTGCATAGTCCATCTTGGTTCTTATTTTTCCCCACTCCTCT